GCTGAATGGCAGCACAGCCTTCTGGGGTATCCACCACTCCTCCCAGTTTTGAGTCATCAGCAAACTTGCTGAGGGTACACTCTAACTCTTCGTCCAGGTCACTGATGAGTGAACTCCTCCATGCAGAGGACACAGGGTTGTGGTGCAGTTGTCGAGAGACCGGCTGCCACCAGGTTGAGCAGCTTTGCTTTCCACAACAGCAAAGCCCTGTCTCAGGTTCCCGGCTGCTGCTGGATTTCAAGCTTTGGGCAACCCCTACCAACCTGCTGAGACACTGCAGTCTGGCTTGTCCAGCGTGAGAAACAGGGTCTTGGGACTACAGCTGTCCCCAGCCTTGGAGCTGAGGGTGCCCACCTTCTCCTGGAGACACAGATGCCTTCAGAGGTACCAGAGACAGCAGGATCCTGCTCAAAAATCCCCGAGCTCCTCCTGCATGGTTGGCTCTTGCAACGCCAGCTGACCTCAGCAGTTGGTGAGCTGATATGCAGAAGTCTTCTCCACAGAGATACTGCTCCTGTTGAGGTCCTACAGCCCCCCAGGCGATCCCCTTCTCCCTCCTGACCACCCAGCCTGGGAAAAAATGCCTATCTTAAGGCTGAACAAGAGGGTGTTTTATGACCTTTCCCCTTTCAAGCACCAGCCACAGAGGCTGCCGTCACATCTTCTGGTCAGAATGCAGATGTGCCCCCAGAAGGTGACTCCTCCCAGCTGTTCGCCAGATGTTCAGTGAAAAATCAGTAAAACAGTAAGTACTGGCCATCGTGCCCCTCCACCCCCCCCGCGGTCACTCAGGTTTGCTGTCCTCTCACTGCAGCATTCACACGAATTTTCTTATCTCCTGAGTAGAAAAGGGTCAGTCCTGAATTTCTAGCAAAACGTGAAACCAAAATAATACCTTAAAAAAAAAAGGAGAAAACTGTTCTGACTCTGTGTGCTGCCATGGATAATTTTAAGTGTTTTTTTCCCCTGAGGCAGGGGGAAAAGCAAAAGACTGAGCAAACCAACGTATGACAGAGAGAAGAGATCCTCGCTTTCCAAGAACACGCTACCTATCCAATGCATTGCTCAGGCTAACAAATGTTCCAGTCGCCAAACTCTTTCTTCTCAATCTCTGCTCTTCTCATGACTTCGATGGAGCTTTACGAGCAGCCTTCGCGTACAGACTGAGGGATGGAAGCTGGTGCATGCAGAGGTACCTGTGTATGCAAACAAAAACACGTTACATTTGTATAATGGACATAGCTAATAAAACCAACTGTTCGCTTTGCTTTCTTATTGCTTTTTGATGCCAGCATCTCAAAAAACTTCATTTCAAAGGAGATCTTTAAGTGCCTGGCTTAAAGCTGCACATCTTGGGACTTGCTAGCCCAGTACAACACACCCTCCTACAGCTTGTGCTTGATGTACAATCTCTTAGCAAAAAAACAAATCATGAAACTTCTTACACAAATCACTGCACTCCTTAACTGACTAGGTGACGCCAACAGCAGGCTTCCCAACTCAGCAATCACCCACTCAGCGGCACGTGTCAGCCGGCCAAGCCAGGAAGGACTTTGGGATGTAAATTCCAGGCAGCAGGAACCACCGGGAGAGGCTTCGACCACCAGTTTGCCCGGGCGCGGTTCTGCCCGTCACCGGTTTCAGCAGCTGCAAAGGGACGTTTTCCTCTCAAAGTCCAGACGAAAACAGTTCTTGCCGTGAAAGGTTGCCGCGATGCCGTGAGTTTTCACTCGCCTCTGAATGATGAACCTTCTACCGCTCAGGGCACGTCGAGGGGAGGCGAAGGGCTGGTTTCACACCTGGCTGATGAACTAATCGACATAACCAGTGAAAAAAAACCCAGTACCTTATCAACCAGTACCAGTTTTCTGCTGGGGGTGAGCTGCTTACACACATCTAGCACCATCTTAAGACACAACAGATCTTTGTAACATGTACTTTGATGCAGAAGTACTCTTTTGCACGCATTTGCACCCTAGTTAGGGATTTTTTTAATCTAATAAAATATCCCGTGTAGCGGCAGTCTTGTCCACGACGATAAAGAAAATGAACAGAAGCCAGTTCGTTCCACAGCTTTGTATCCAGATACAGAACTTCACAAAACAGCAGGGGAAAAAAGGAACTATTTTTCACACAGACCATGGGGTTTTGATGCTTTATTTTCAGAACTTCTGTGAAAAACCTAAGATTTTTTTTTTTCCCCCCAAAGCAAAGTCAAAAACTCAGTTGCTGCTTTGAGGTTCTGTGGTGAACACGCAACTCGCAGGCTTCTTCTCCAGGAAAAGGAGCGTGAGGTTCTGTGTGGTTTAGGCTACTCACATGGGGTAAAAAAAACAAAACAAAACAAAAAAACTAGCTTTGCAAAAGGTGTCTGTTGAGAACACTACTGAGTGTAAAACAGATGAGCCAAGTTTTGCCAGAGTCTTCACCAGGAGCAAGACTGGAAGTTTAATCCTCGAGTGATGCAAAAGGCTGGTTCACCTCCAGGGACTCATTTTTCAGACAGAAGCCCTTGTAATTCATGCCGCTAGCAGTAACGATTATCCCAGATTTTCTTCTTCCTGGTCTGAATATCAAGGAGCAAATTCCACCATCTGGGAAAGGCTCAATAACGAGCTGGTTCAACGAGGCGCGCCCGGTCCCATCCAGCAGAATCGGTGCATGGCGTGTGTCGGCAGAGCAGAGCGAGCAGCGAGCAGCAGCAGCGGGGCACCTCGCCGTGCCGTTGTTGGGGAAAAGAGGGGTTTCTGCGTCCATTCCGCTCACAGGGCTGCTCGCCAACCCTCGTCTGGCTCGCAGCAGGCGCAGCCAGGAGGACTTGCAGAGGAAACAATTCAAAACCGCTGCATACTTGGTGCTGATAAGTAAAATAAACAAAATAAAGTGGATAATACACTTGGAGATAACCTGCTTGCCCCCAACTTTGGCATGCGGGCTGAGACATTCTGGATTACCACTGGACATCACAGCTTACAGAACTGACCAAAGGAGTAATAACAACTATCAGTATAATTACACTTGCAGTAAAATAAAACCCCAAGGGTTTCTCCTCTTTCCAGTTCGTAATTTGGCTAGGAATCAAAGAAGTTCATGCACTTGTACAAGAGCAATAAAAAAAATTAAATATTTATTTTGAATAACAAGCTTAAGTTCAAGCTGCAATGTTGGCAATGTAGATTTTAAACACTGATCACAAAAGCGTGCACAAAAATGTATTTGAGAAAGAACAAAATAATGCTAGGAATTATACTAAACAGCTGCTGATTTTAAAGAAACAAAAAAGCCTGTAATCACTATACAAAATATAAAATGTATTAAACACTACCATCCACAGAACAGAGGTTTATTTTAGTTTGATTATATTTAAAAATTATTTGTGTAGTTATTTATATAGTGAATTGTAAATGAATATTATACAGTAACCTCCTTTTGGTCTGCAAAACCTTTGTTGCACTATAGCACATCCAATCACATTGCAAAAAAAAAAAAAAAAATTATTTTTCCTTACTATCAATAAAGAAAACAATCATTGATAATGCAGTAAATATTGTCAGGTCTACAAATAACGAAATTAAAAATGACTCCTTCGACTCTGAAGCGCTTTCCATGCAAAGTCAGCACTTGCTCGTTTAAACAGAGTGCACTACCAAGCAATGTCCAGGGTCGTAGATGCTCTTGATAAGACTAAACCTTACAAAATAAAAATTAAAAATAAAAAAAAATATCAAAGATTGAATGTAATCATGCAACCCTCTTACTACTGGGTATACCCCCGTGTCACTTATCAATTTATTGCCTTTCTGGAATATCACTCAAGGCATCCAAATTAGACTTATGATAAATATACATATAATGAAAGGACACAAACTGCTATTCGACACTACTACTGGTAATGTCTGTGCTACGTGAAAGCACCTTTAAAAAGAGCCTATGCGGCAAGAGATAAGTGTCTAAAGATTCAAAATGAATCAACAGTATTGGATAACAATATAATTCTCAACTCAGAAGCTGCCTCAAGATTAGGTGCATCTTCAGTTAATGTAACAGGAAAAAAAGGCAATGGATTTTATTTTATTAATTGTATCCACTCATAAACTGACCTAAGGCCACCAGATGTGCAGACACAACAAGTTTTCTTTTCTTTTTACAGTTCTTGAAATTGTAGGGTGATAAAGGAATAGATCTATTTAAAAACAAACAGCTATTTCATCTCTATTAAGAGGTGGCACCGGGCGTCGGGTTCACATTCTGAGTGGCCACCTGTGGTGCGACTTCAATGATCCGTGGTTTGTCTATAATTCTGGCCGTGCGGTTGCCCTTCTCTACAATGCCGATAATCCACGCTTGGTGACCTTCGCCATATTTTGGAGACTTGATCTCGGCACAGAACCGTGCTGCCTGTTCTCGTGGTAAACAGATGAGGAGGCCTCCTGCAAAGAGAAAAAGCAGAGCATTAAAATGTCCGATCACAAGGCATTTCAACTTTGATCTGCCAAACCCCTGTTTGGACAAGCGCTTGGTGACTTCAGTGAATTCTGCTGAACTCCAAGGATTCCTAGAGAAGACATGGTGGAAGTCTGAGCTCTCGCTTTCCGGAAAGAAGTTTGTGCCTGAACTCTGTGTTTAGTGGGTATGTAAATCAAGCCAAACACAAAAAGATGTTGGCAAAAGGACATCACACCAACGCCAACAAATGACATACTGGAACAACACAGCATTGTGAACTTCCAACAGGGGACTGCAAAGTGCCTCTGCACAGAACATTTTGGATAAAGGTCATATGCAGAGACCGATAACCACACACTGGCAGCAGCTGATTCTGCAAGTAATCCCATTGCCTGCAATGAAATGATTCATCAAAGCGGGGACTATTAACCAGAGAACGCAAGAGGCAGAAAATTAAACATTAGCTTGATCAAGTGCTCCCTGTGACAGTCCTTTTGACCTCTTTGTTGGGGAATTTTGTAACCTTTTTTAGCCTTTCCCATAAGATTTTTTTCTCAGAGACAACTGAAAAATATTTAATTTCATAATGAATGCTTTTCAGAGTCAGCACAATAACTAGTTAGCAAGTTTGCCACTCCGTTATTAAACCTACGAACACTTCCATTATAAGAATCCCAAAGCACTGAAAAAGGTGGCTCGGCAAGTGAGTTACTAGAATGAGTTTCATTGTCAGCTCTAGCACAAAATTCCAGGGCGCTCTGACCAAATCATGACATGTTTTGGTGCTAGCTTTTGTTACTAGAGCATTCAGCTTTTCTATATCCTTTACCTTTTGTACACTTACGCTACGCTGCAAATGTGTGAAGCACTGTGCCACAGAGCAGCAGTCACCTGCAGATGCCTGACTACCCCTCAAAGCATCGCACGCTCCGTGCAGTCTGCGCTGCTCACATCTGTACGCTGCGCTGTATTCTGACATGTAGCAGCCTCTTGTAAGGGATGTTAAAGCATCATCTCCCATTGGAAAAGGTCTGGAGGACACAGGCAGGAGAGCGTACTCACGCAGACAGGAATCTGGGCACAGGCTGAGGCTCGCTTACTCTCTAAGAGGTATTTGACCCAAAGCCTTCTCGTCCGGGCGAAGGGCATCAGCCAGCAGCGCAAGTGATACTGCCAGCTTGGAGCCAAGCCCAGGGGCAAAGGGCCGCCTGGTGAGCTGGCCACCCTGGGCTCCGTGCCACCTCCTCCTCCACCACCCCTGGACAGCTTCTTAGCACCTTGGGCACCTTTATGTTTAATTTTCCAAGCTAACAGCCCCCTCGGTGGTGACTAAAGACACTTCTAATTTAAGACTGTGAGGAATAAGCAGCTACTGAACATGAGGAATTACTTATAAGGACATGTGGAAGTGTGCGAGTTATTTTTAGGCTCTATATGAAGCAAGTGAGTGTGCCATCCAGAAAAATGCCTACCTTTCTCAGGCACTGGGGAACACAACATCCAGGTACTTCCATCAAAAACAACAAAAAAACCCTGAAGCTTGAAAGACGATGTTTAAGCTACTCCAGATGTAACAGACAAATCAACTGCAAAGGAATTACGTGCCATTCCCATGCAAGGCTCTAAATCAAACTGAGGATAAACTTACATCATGGTGCAAGCGAGTCAGGGAAGAGGTTTACAAGTGGTAGTGCAGAGAACATGCTAACTAGCCGGAAGGGAGAAGTAGGAGTATGGTGAAAAAGGAAATAAGAAAGAGCACAAGAACAATCTTCAATCAGTTACTGTTTCCCCACATATTCACTTTTCGCAATTTTGTATGCATACCCTGTTAACATTCTTTGGCAAGATGAGAAAACTGTAAAAAATCCATTTGCAATCCAAAAAAATCACTTCCCACCTGCTGGCTGCATCCCACAGTTTTCTCAATAACCCTTAATAAAGGCTCTGGGCTACTCTCAATCAGTAGTAGGGTTCCTGTCTGCAGGGACAGTAATAATTTCTCTGGTAGACTGACCAGTCTCTTTAACCCTCGGGGTAAGTCCTTAAGGTTTTCCACCGTGTATTCTCGTCTAGTCCGTTCTATGTTACCGGCGTTCTCAGCTGCTCTGGTTTTTGTCCCATGGACAACTACAAGCAGTCTTCACCTCTGCAAGGTCACAGCCCCCAGGAGCTGGAGTTGCTGCGACGTGCCCATGGCAAATGAAGCAGTAGTGCCGTTCTGCAGCAAGGCACGCAGCATTCCACGGAGTACCAAGTTTCTGAGGTCTGCGTTGCCTCCAGACAAAGCAAATGAACTGCAGACTGAACAGACAAATGGCCGTGGCAGTTTGAGAGTTTCCTGCGTGCTTCTTTTGGGCGTTGAAGGGATGTAGATACCTGGTGGTTGTCCTAGTGTGCCTTTTTAAAAATGTCTTTTTTTTTTTTATAAGAGGTTTTGAATATTGCTGGTTTTAATGGTTGTATTGCAAGCAGGGAAGAGGACGTAGAAAACTTCAAAAGCAGACTGGACAAAGCTTTGCAATTAAGAGCAGAGACACAAACAGCTTGTGAATCCAAACCGAGTGTCCTTGCTCCTGCTCATGGCTTTCTCCCACAACGACTACCAAAAGCATGAGATCATCAGCCTTGCCGCTTGTCAGGCACTAACACAGCCCACCCATCTACCTATGTCCACAAAATCTGCAGAAACACCGCATTGCTGACATATCTCTGCCACACTAAAAAAGATGGTTGACACCAGTCAATAGCTTCAAAAGTTACTCAAAGAGGACTGCATGAATAGCCCATACAGAGTAACTCTGTAACTTCCTTCTGCAAACAGCCAGTCTAACAAACGGAATTAAGTTTTTTGAAAATAACTGCCTGATTGCAACTTTAACCTTTACCAAAGAGTTACCTAAAAGGAGTGTAAAATCATGTAAAACTGCAATATTAAGAAAATACAGCATAAGCAAGAGTGCCTGGAGGATGGAAGAGATGACATAATAGATCTTTCCAACACTGACTTTTGCCAACAGGTGCCCAGTGAATGTGCACTGGAAAAAAACACAACAGGCTTAAAATCCATTCAAATCGTTTTCCAGTAAATTTCTCACTGCCTGCCCACTCTGCAGAAAAACATCTGTTCACAGATGAAGAAGCTACAGACAGAGCATTTCTGGAAGTTAAGACAACAGAGAAAGAGCCTATCGGTATTACGGCACGAACAGTCCTGAGCAGCCCGGCAAAAGACACCCTTGCTACTGGATACACAGGCGCAGCAAGACAGACGCTTGCCTTCACCTAAATCAGCCCCAGGACGTCAAGTGCGCAGACAGCCTGGGTCTGAATGCTAACCAGCTGTCCCAGCACACCATGCCCCAGCTAGGACACACTGCTGCAATGTGGCACGCTGTCGGTGTAAGCCTGAAGCCTGTGGGAAGGCCGTTATATAGCTTCCAGACCCGAGCTACTGTGCCCACGTGGCTCCACGTGGATCCTTCCAATATTTGGCAGACGCTGCCCTGTAACAAATCCCCACAGCCGCCTCTAATGCGAGAAATGCAATGCTGATGAAATCAAATATACGTGTTTTGAGGCACCCAAAGTTCACAACCAACCAGATACGTCTTGCTGGTTTTTCCATCATCATCTATGTTGAAATGTAAGCCATTCAGCGTTTCAAAGACACCTCTCAGTCCCAAAAGGTTCTGAAGTCGACTGTTTCCCACTTCCAAGTGCCCTCACAGCAGTGCGTACATCCGCACCATCTCATACTCCTTTGGTGAAAAGCCAGAACTGGATATCCCCAGGGTGCGGGATGCGCAGCTCTGAAGACACCAGCACCAACGGTTTGCAGCTAAACCATTCCCACGCCCACTGCTATACAAACCTCTGCCACAGCCACTCATCTGAAGCAGCACCCTGCACACACAGCTCTGTGTCCACACTACTTTTTGGACTCTGCAACTGATAAGTAGAGTGCTAGCAGCACTTGTTATGTGGGCTCCTGGGTAGTAAGCATCTGTCTGGTGCTACCAAACTGCCACCAGGTATTTCTGGTCTCTGCTGACACTGGATTTGAACTCTCGAAAGGGTTCATGTCCCATATCCTATTACACATCATCTGAGCCATACAGTCTCCCTAGGACAGAAAGTCTGTTTAAACACAGATGGCTGAGGAACAATTCAGCAGATCACGGTAACTTGTGTATTCACTAGGGGAAAAGTTTATGGCTCTCACTGTGATGCTTCTTTCCAGATCTTCGGACTGTTTTGCTTCAAGGGGCCCACTCTGCTGTGAACTGCAGAGAACTTGGATAATACTTTTGGAGAGCAGGAAGAGGGTGGAGAAATGAGATAAGAGAAAGAGACAGATTTGTTGCTACATTTCCCAAAGAGAAAGAAAAGTCAGATTAAGGAAGAAAACCAAAATGGAACAGGGCAGAAGATTCAAGGGGAAAAATATATAAGTATAGATGCTTCAGCAGCAGACTTTGATTGTGCTAGTCAGCAAAGTGGCCTACACTTAATAGCAAGGCAACTTTCAAACATCAGAAGTTCTTATCACCTGATGACTGTTCAAATGTTTATCTGGAATGCACTTGGTGTCTGTAACTTGTATTTGCAAGTGGCAACTTTATCAAATACAGAACTCAAGTAATGAATGGGTCAGAGATTATTTTTTTTTTTTCCTGCTAGTCACAGTCCTTTAAAGCCAGATTTCATAATCGTAAGGGAGAAAAATCTATATTCTTGGAAGTCTGTATGCTGTGGACAGAGAAGGCCTTAGTCGCCAAGACTGGGCCATTCAGCACTGAACTTCACACATATTCATAATGAGAAACAAAACACCACTCATTTGACTGGCAAACCTACTGAAGGTTGCTTTACCTTTGAGAAAACTGTGTCAGCTGTGCTGGGATTTTCAGATATTCACTGTTCTGGAGTTAACAGCTAAGGGAAAAATAGGTTTCAAGAGAATTCAGAGTCATCACTAACTTCTAAGTGCAAGACATTCTACATACAGTAAGGGTTTCTATAATACTGTTTCATAAGGAACTAGAAGGCACTAAGAATAGGATAGTGGTTTGGAATTAGGCTGAAGAAGTTAATTGTGAACAGTTGTGTGGCTAATGCTCATTAGCTCAGCTATACGCCAAGCCAACTGTGATTCTGAATGCAAAGCACATGATTTGTACATTTGAAATGTTATTAAATTCTAAAGTGGAAGTGCAGGGAAGGAAGAGGTTAGCACAACTGTCACCTACCTGAAGTCTCCGGACAAGTCCCGTGCATGAGGCCAAACATATTGCCACAAGCCTTACTGACTGCAGCCATCTTAGCAAGAACAGGAAGGTTATGAATAACAAAGGACACCTCATTTCGCTGCTGCTTGGCAAGGTTTTGTGCATGCCCCAGGATTCCAAATCCTGTGATGTCTGTAGCTGCGTGTGCATTGAAAGTGTGCATGAGTCCAGCAGCTACGAGAAGGAGGGAAAAAAAAAACAAAACAGAAAAAAAAATGATCAGGAAAAGCAACACTTCAACAATACTGTGCACAGTTTGAATGAAGTTGCATACATTCAATTTGAATCAGGTTGGGTTACTGTTTAAATTATTTAGAAAAAAAACCCATGCTTGAAGGGAACTGGAATTCACCAATCCTGCATGTAACCCTTAAAAAATTCAACTTATATTTGAGGTATTAAATCATGCTGAAAATCCAGCACCAAGGTTATATTTATGAGCATGCTCTATTAGACATGTGCTACTAATTTATATTAGCAGTCTAAGAAACATGGGTTTGCTCCAGATTCAAACTTCCCAAACTCGAGGGCCAGAGAGGTTCTGAGCTCAGCTTTGCTTCATTAAGGGCAAAGGAGAAAACTGGCTGAGTTTTCTTGCATCTCCTTCCCTGCAGCTCTGTAAAATGATCACATCAGAACTTAAACTTGCAAGTGTCCAGAACTTAAGAGCTTAAGCACAAAGCCTGCAAGTTGTGGGGGCAGGGACCCAGCCTCGCCACCTACACATTCATGAAATTCTTGGGCATTTGCAACTCCAGAGCCCTGGGTGGGAGAAGGCACCTCTGCATGCAGGACAATAGCTCCAGTTAAGAATATTTAAGTGTTATTAAAGGTGCCTAGAGCGAGCGGAGAAAAACAAAACCAAGAATGCTTTGCCCTTCTTTGGTCCTTCCCAATACATGAGCAGGACCTGAATCCTTTTCCATAGGACAATCCCGGTCATTTATTTTTCCTGGAAGACTTTGTGAAAGAATGAAAAAGCAGTGGGATGACATAAAAAATACCAAATGAAAACTGAATAAATGGAAGAAGAGAAATTTAACTATCCCTGTTCCTTCAGTTGAGAAGGAAACACCTAATTCAATTCTCTGCTCCCCCAAAGGAAACACCTAATTCAATTCTCTGCTCCCCCAGATATACTTTGAACAAAGAAGGGAAATTCTGGATTAAAATTTGTAGGGTAAAACCAGAACCTTCCCTCTACCAAAATTAAAAGAAAAAACCCAAACAGCCCAACAACCCACAAAACCAGGAAAAAAAAAACCCAGGAATGAAAACGTGCTACACATTCCACACTTTGGGAAGCACACAACATGACAAAATTAAAACCCAAAAACTTAAATTGAAGCATGCAGAAGTTAAGAGCTTTTCCTTTTTTTATTCTGAGTTTTTTTAACCTTATTAGTCAGGCCCTTACAAGTTCTCTAGGCACAGAAGATCAGGAATAAATCCAATATATTTCCCTTTACACTAACTGGGATGTTACTCGCAGCACTCACATGAGTCATAATCATCTCCAGCAGCATTTGTGTTTTTGCTGTATAATTAAAAGAGGGCGTTTGATTTTAATTTGCTTGCTTCACAAACACTGAAGAGCAGAAAGATGGAGCAGAAGGAAGGGATAAAGTGGCTGTGTCACATTTCCCCACAGCAGTGAAATGAAATTGAGTATGGAATCGGAAAAACCCACAACCTTCCCTTCACCCCCCCAGAACGCACATCTCTTACCTGTTCGGTTCAGTCGTGCCATATTCATCATTGCTTCCTGGTATGCTAGTTCTACATCTTCTTGCGTTACCACTAGTTTGATTTTATTCCACTTTTCTGGCTAATGGATGAAATAAAGATGAATCTTTTAGATTTTCAGCTGTGTATTTTAAAGCACACCCATACCACTTTAAAAAAATCCTGCCTCCAAAATGTACTTATTTTTTTTTTTAAACTCAGTTAAAGAGGGGCAAAAGCTTCAACAGTCAGAGGTGTGCCTTACTCTGCTGTACCTAAGTGAAGTTCATTTAAAGATCTAACAGGCACCAAGCACCTCAAATCTTGGTTTCAGTAGCAGAGTGGAATAACCTACCCTAGGGCAACTCCTTCAAGGCAACTCTCAGGCTTGAACTCCTCAGGCAAATGAAAAGAATTTTGTTGCTGGATGTTGAGATTTATAGTCTCTGGCTTCTTTGATTTTTAAGAGAAAATTCTTGATTTCACATCTGGACACTGTGATCAAGAAAGGCCACTGATATCCACAAGTCGGAGGAACATATGCTAAGGCAGGATGTAATCACTCCAGTGAGCTAGGATTAAGGCAGTTTCATAAGATTCCTTTACAGTTTAATATCAGCATCTCCTTCCACCCATCCTCCAGTGTCTTATGATAGAATCACAGAGTCATTAAGGTTGGAAAAGACCTCTCAGATCATCAAGTCCAACCACCAACCCAACACCACCATGCCTGCTAAACCATGTCCCCAAGTGCCACATCTACACGTTTTCTGAACACCTCCAGGGATGGGGACTCCACCACTTCTCTGGGCAGCCTGGTCCAGTGCCTGACCACTCTTTCAGTAAAGAAATTTTTCCTAATATCCAATCTGAACCTCTCCTGATGCAACTTGAGGCCATTGCCTCTCGTCCTATCACCAGTTACCTGGGAGAAGAGACCAACACCTGCCTCACTACAACCTCCTTTCAGGTAGTTGTAGAGAGCAATAAGGTCCCCCCTCAGCCTCCTCTTCTCCAGACTAAACAGCCCCAGCACCCTCAGCCGCTCCTCACATCTCCATCACATGCTAAGCAATGCTTTTCATCCCAAAAGTCTCAGAAAAATTTAGGAAATGGTACCTGTATAAAGAGTAATTGTTTCATTCAAAGCTGAAGTAATTCCAGACCCAGAATGAAGCAAAGCAACTATTTAGCTGTTAAGAGCAACACTACAAACTGGGTTTTCTTTTTTTTTTTTAATGGAAATAAAATTACACAGAATTGAAAATAAACAAAAATAGGATTTTTGAAGCCACAATGCCTACACTGCCATTTCACAGAATAAGTGCATAGAACAAACTTCTTACTAAACCAATGGTGCAAAAACTACTAAGAATTGGTATATGATGCTGCACTGGGGAAGGATCTTGTCAAAGAAGCTCCTACCCCCAACAAAGGAGCGCTGACTTCGAGGGGTGTAAGAGAGAATCCAGAAACAGCAAGAGGGGGAAAAAGACTAGTCAGCCAAAACAAATAATTTGTTAAAGAGCAAGGAAGTGTAGCAGTAAGATTAGAGCTTCTGAAATTAGGTTGAACTGGGTCTGAACAATTAAATAAGAAAAGCATTTTTAGTTAAATAAATCAGAGACCAAGTAAAAAAAATAAAATGAGGCTATTACAGAGATGACAGAATAATGATGATTCTTACTCCAGGTATGACTGAAAGACCTGAGCAGAGTCAGTCCACCTTATTTTTTTTGAAAAACACAGTTCTGAGGCTGATCATGGGTTGGAAACTGGTCAGCTGATGGGAATGGAAATCACAAATGAGGTGGAAGCAGAACTCAAGGCTGAGGCTAGAAGAGCCACAAACACAGGTAAGATTATTAGATGCAAATTCCTCTCCACTACAGCAATCAGATACTGTGGTCAGTAAACAGGAAACAAAGGCAGAAAAGTTCACAAAAATGCCCAAACAACTTTTAAAAGCAAGATTAGCTTTCCCAGTGGGAAGGGTCTGTAGACAACAGCAAGGGCTAGAAAACCCTTTCGGCAGGGGCACATACAACAACCCCTTTCATGCTTTGCAGCTGAAAGCAGACAAGGCAAAGCAATGCCAGCTCTCAGCTGTGGACCTGCCTGATCGATTGACACCATCAGCCAGGCAGCCGAAGCTGCAGCAAACAGCTCCATCATCCTGGCACACCCCGGACCCGGTCCCCTGCTCCCCGCAGACCCTTTTGGTCTCTTCCTTCGCACCCCACAGCCACTGCTGCCAGCAATGCAGCTGGGCCTCAGCTGCAATGATGCTGGCAGCAGCCAAGCAAGGAGGACAAATTTTGTCTCCATTTGGATATTCCTTTCACTCCTCACCAGGAACTCATTTGCTACTGCTCTGTTTAAACACCTCAGCTTCAAGGGGTTTTTTGTTGGTTTCTTTGTTTATTTATTTTACAGGCACATATCTCTACAGTTTTCCTTTCTTGCCTGTGCATAAACTTGCTGTACGATGTACCTTCTCCCGTATACTTTCCAACATAAAGTCAAATTCCCTACCAAAATTTGATTTATGGGTGGATTTGTGATGGATAATTCTAGTTTCACTTTTCCTACTCTTTCACAAAACAAAGCTAAAGAAAAGGCAGCACAGCTACTCAGAATTTTTCCTACCACAATCAAAGATATATTCTATTTACATGTAACAGGAGGATTAATTTCCTTGTTGTCCTAATTTTTCAGACCAGAAAGTGTTTCTGGTTGACAGTCAAGGAAATTAGAAGTACTTGAAATATGTGGAAATTCAGAATATCCTTAATTTGCAAGTCTGTTTGTCAGTACAATAATAGATATGTTAAGAAATGAGATTACGACCAGAAAACATACTATAAAATTGGTGTCTTGTTGTTTCACTTCATTTTCATATCAAGATTATCTGAGGCCCTGATCCTTATATCTGGTTGGAAAACGCAGGATTCTGCAGAGGTCAGAATTGCTAGGCCAGACCCTATGAAGAAGGAGAAAAATATTTTTTTCCCTGTTGCTCACACTTCAGGCTCCAATGAAGGTTTAAGCTGGTTCTCTCCCACTTTTGCTAACACAGGCTTTGGAATTAGAATTCATCTGACAATGAAGTGGCCAACAGCCAAGACAAAGCAGATTCCAGCTCCCTCTGCCAGTCTATTGGCTCAGCAGTCCCAAAAGTAGAAAAGACGCGTCTTTTTAAAGTGTAAACTGAGCAGTTATAATTCCGAAGACAAGTACTGGGAGCCAGACAATATAAACAGATGCCAATTTTGCCATCACTTTTCAGTTCAGTAGTTACATTTTTGCCTGAAGTAACAGATGGAAGTACGTCTACATGCATAATGCTGCTAGAAATATTCTTATTGAATGCACAGGGTAATACATGTGAAACGTAGATATATCTCTACGCACACAAGCAGAAAGCCCACAAACACAGACAGCAATCTTGGCCTAATTGCCATCAATAAGCTTTTGCCAATTACTTTAGCAGGTGGAGTAGGGCATAATCTTACCCAGGGTGCTAGTCTGTTGTTCTGTTAGTAAACAATTTTGTTTATTACAGCAATGCCTGAGAACTAACTAAGAATTAGAAGCAATTAAGATGGGCTCACGAAGCACAAAATAGTAAACTGTCTCAATTCCAAGAGAGTTTTGCACATAAGCAGGTAAGGCCAACACACCAAGGAGGAAGGAGGAGAGAGGGGTGGTAGATCATTCCCAACTGAGCCCTCAGCGCAGTTATTACACTGCTGAGCTTTGCCATTTTGAGGTTTTGAGGAATGAGGAAGGTCACCTTTAAGTCACACCCCTTCACAGTGTACTCACAATATCTAGCCACTGGTGGACAGCTACAGCCACTTGTGTTCCCAAGGGTTTAGTTAATACAAGCACATCTCCTGGCACTGCATTGTCTGGCCTGAAAACAAAGAATTCATATATTAATTACATGGTGAGATTCACACACGTTATTAGGAACAAGTGCTGATAATTACATTTTCACAGACCCATGTATCTTGTTGCACAGTTACACTGACTAATTGCAGAATTACCCTTTGGGACTCATTGCCATGGGATATTGTTGAGCAAAAAGCTGCATACTTATTTAAAAGTGCTAATCCCTCTTTCTTGGAATATAACAGTGCTTGCAGTCAGACACACACAAAATTACAACTTTTCTTTCAATTTACTGGAGACATAAGACAGGATAGGGAGAAAAAAATTGACCTTTGTTACTCAGGGCATAAGATAACCACCACTAGGATCACGAACAAATGCATTTGTATAGTGTAACATGCCACAATGGGACATTCGAAATCAGCTGTTAAATGGACAGAATGCTGTAAACACAGCACTTGTGTAGCTCTCTACAGCCATTAGTAGGATAACTGGGAGATGGTTTACAATGTATATATAAATACGACAGAAATTTGTGTCCCAAAACAGCCTTCAATACCTTTAAAGTTTAGAAGCTTAACTCCTGTCAAAAGGAGTATAGGATTAAAAGATACTGTGGGGTGGGGAGAAGTAAAAGGACATCCTGTTTAAAAAAGCAAGTATGTACAGAAGAAATGTGGCATCTGTTGAGTGCTAAGGACAAATGCAAGCAGGAGCAGGTACTGTTTTATTCATCAGGAGACAGATCACAAGATCACAACATGGTATTTAAAGGATTTTTTACTTTATCCCTTCAGACCAGTGCCTTTGATTGTTTAGCGATTTAACTTACATTATAAATTCATTAGGCTGACACACTGTCGTGGCCACTCCTCCTAAAACAATCCAGGGATTTAACACTGTTTGGCCACCAGTAACAGATGTTCCTGCCTCTTCTGCTGCATCTTTGAAACCCTGGATAATTAGAGGCATCACTTTGTCTCTTTCCTAGAGATCAAAACAGAAGTCAGAGTTCCATACACAGCAGTGCTAGTCATTTCAAGACTGGTCCAGGGCTTTTAACCATTCAAGCCAAAATGCCCTCACGGCAAATAGTTCACGACAGAAAAGCCAGCCTTAGGAAGAGGTCAGCCTCCTCAAAATCGCATCTTATCCCACAGAGCTATGGTTTTACAGCCCTTTGTAAAAAAGCTGGAGACATTCTTCAAAAGGTCACATAAAAGTAAAGAAATCAGAGTTCTGGAAACTCAGAACAACTATCCTGCTGTTGTAATCAATACAGCAAACAGCAGTGCAGTGCAACAAGGCAAAGTTAAATCAAGATTCATTTGGCCTCCACTAACCTGCAAAGTTTCAACTTACTTCCTTCTAAGAATAAACATCCTTTTTTGCTAGAACAAAACAAACATACATACTGGCCACTTCAAAAAAACTAAAAAAAAGAAAAGCCATCTATTTTAGTTTCCTCTGCTTCAGAGACATGTTGCAAAGCTGGCATAAGCAAACCAGAAGTATCTATCCAGATCGATACATGAATTGGTAATCAAATGCTGCCTTGGAGCAATATTGCCCTAAACTGACAGAAGCAGGGAACCCCATTTTGATGGAGATGAAGGAATTGGCAGCAGATTACAATGCCACAGAAAACTGAACTTTTAGCAACTGACCTCAGGATGTTTATGAGGCAAGACCCATACTACAAACTGAGACATTCAATAAAACCATCCCTTCTTTCCAAGGGTTAAAACTCTGAGGAAAAAATACACTAAAGGTAAATATATTCTACACATGTTTAGCTGTTTGGGTCTTCCTTCAAAAGCAAGTACCAAAAATCTTACCCTATCTGTCATTTTATTGCTGATTCCAAGGAGCATCAACATGTTGTCGCATTCTGTGACCCCCATGGCATAAAGGTCACTTAGGACATTGGCACATGCTATCCGTCCCTGAAAAAGAAAGACAGACAGGAAAAAAAAACATCTTCGGGACTGTTTGTGAATGCTCAAACACCTGCCACGAACAAAACTTCAAGCATTAGTTTGTGCTTTGAGACAGCTGCTTACTCCACAAGCTCCTGCAATAACAAATCCAGCCAAAGACGTAGTATGGTCCATTTTGTGCAACATGCTCATCTAGGAGTGCAGGTATTTGCTCCCTTTACAGGTAAGGAGACAATTCATCCCAGCTGTCTTGGTCAACATAGTCTCTCACTGACTACATAGGAATCCCACACCGAGTTTAGACTGGATGCCTAATTTTAGAGGCTGAAGTTAAGCCTAGCTTTGATAACAAGCTCAGTTTACTTAATCTGATATGTTCCTATTAACCTTATGCCAGCACAAAACCATACACACTGATGAAACTGACCATGATATGCAATTCACAACTGCTAGGAAGCTAACCCATAAAGCATGTGTTGCTGTACCTTTTCTGCTTTGGAATGCACAGGAGACAGGGACCTTGATGAGAGGGCTGTTTGTTCCTCTGCACTACCCTGAAGGCCACATCTACACTCCTGAGTTTTTAGGAGAGGACACAGTTGTGCTGCCGGCACACAGCCACACTGAGGTGCTTCTTCTGTCCGGACATCAATAAGCAGCTGTCTGCAGAAGACAGTGCGTGCCAGGGATTACAGGGCTCGGGGCTCCCAGAAGCTGGCCTTGTCACCGCACGGCTGCTGAGGGGACGTATATGTCCCCCGCCGCTTGTTTGGCAAGGGAAATGTGCCTACTCTGTCACTTGTTAAATGACAAGATAAGGCTGAATTTTGCTGCAGTGCATACATTTTAATTGACTTTTGTGTGTGTGAACATCTCCATTAACAAAAATTTGACTAAGAGACCTAGTCTTCTGTTGCAGATTTGTCTAAGAAGTCTTGAAGCTGACAGGACTGAGAAGGGATCACTTGGGCCTCATAAGCTTAGCTACTCTAATTTTGCTGAATTAATGGATCTGAGGGAGGGTTTGTTGGGATGTGGACCCAGGCACAGAAGAGACATCGAGTTTCCCAATGAAGACGCAGAACTTTGATGCAGTATGTGCCCTAAGGGACAGCAAGATAATTTTAAAATACAGGACAAATTCTGTTGTGTTACTCTGGAAGACTCCATGCATTTTATTAAAATTGTTTCAGGTCTACAGCTGCAGAACTGTAACCAACATCTGGTTTTATGATTTTAAACCTGTGCTTTTCATAAAGTTCAGAGGCAAAACCACCATGACAAAAACAACAACATGCTTATTTGACACTATTTGGACTACAGAAAGATGCTTTAGCTGCAGGACAAATTTCGAGGGAAAGAAGAAAAAAAGAATCTAAACACTTTTCCACTATCTCTAAAACCTTACAGTCTGATCACACATCCAGGATCTCTGCAAAAATTACTATTTTTCAGGCAGTTACCTTACTTGCTGATGACATGAAGTAACACCTCCAAATCACAATTAAACATAATCCAGGTTTTCATAAATTCAAGAGCTTCCAGTAGCATCAGGGGAATCCCTTATATTTGGAACTGGAATATGTTTTAATCATTTAAATCTTAAACTATTAAGAGAAGAGTGAGCTGTGTACTGTATGGTTTGATGGATATTGGCTGTTAAATTTCTAGCTGTTTAAAAACACTAAAGCCTGCCATTTTCCTTTTCTGGAAGGGGGCTATTAAACCATTCTCCACTATCTTCAGTATTTACCAAACAAACTGCTGGTTTATGCCCTCTTAGGAATGACAGATAAGTCTTTAAAACCACACTGACAACAGCTCTCTATTCTAGTAGTCCAAGGTCAGTCTAACACCACTTTGCCAACTGCCAAAACCCCTATGGAAACAAATTCAGGGAGTGCAAGTCTCAACTCTGAAGTAGCAAGGGAACAGTACACGGCTCGCAAACACCGATAAACACGACAGGATTCACAAACAGGGGTCAGTCTAGCTGGGTCCCACACGCTATCCGACTGCTTGCTTAGTCCCCCTGAAACACAAGTCTCTGTGCGATACTAAGAACTATTTATCAGGGCAAAGGACAGAGTATCAGATACCTGTTCCCAGTCTTGAGCGAAGGTTCTTCTTAAAAGGGCACAAGAAACATCCCTGGAGAGGAGGGGGAAGGAAGTCCACTCTCAAACCAGCCAGTTTCCTGCTCCTGTACTCAAAAAGGTGTCTCCCCAGTGCCACAACAGAGGCCAGTACCAGTCTTGTTACCAGTGGCTTGATACTTATTATCAAACCTATTTTCAACTGCTTGTAGCTTTTCCAGTATCAAACCATTTAAACTGAGAAGCCCTACGACGGATATAGGTTTTACAGGTGTACATCCTAGGGATACTTCAGACAACATGTCAGCCAGAAAAGGAAGGTTACAGAAAGCGTACCCCTCCCCCCCGATGAGCAAGAATGGTGACCTCCTATCAACAGACAAGGAGAAGGCTGAGGTACTCTGCAACTTTTTTGCTTCAGTCTTCCCTGGCAACCTCTCTCCTTGCCCCTCCCCAGTTGATGGACCACAAGATGGGGAACAGGGGGGCAAAGCCCCTCCCACAGTAAAGGGAAGATCAGGTTTGGGACCACCTGAGGAACCTGAACATACATAAGTCTATGG